CACCCCCCTCTTCCTTCCCTCACAACCCCCCCTAAAGCTTCTCCCTGAGCCCTCTGGACATGCCAGGGGGCTGCAGGGAGCCTCCAGCGAGTGATTGATCGTTCAAACGATCAATCGCTTGCTCTAGCGCTCGACCGAGCGTTTTAACGCTCGACCGAGCGTTCTAACGCTCGGTCGAGCGTTAAAACACTCGGTTGAGCGTTCTAACGCTCGGTCGAGCGTTAAAACGCTCGATCGAGCGTTAAAACACTCGGTTGAGCGTTAAAACACTCGGTTGAGCGTTCTAACGCTCGGTCGAGCGTTAAAACGCTCGATCGAGCGTTAAAACACTCGGTTGAGCGTTCTAACGCTCGGTCGAGCGTTAAAACGCTCGATCGAGCGAAAGAGGGGCTGGGGGGGGTTGAAAGGGGAGGGGAGAGGGGGGAGCAAGGGGAGGGGAGAGGGGGGAGTGGAGGGGAGAGGGGAGGGGAGAGGGGAGAGAGAGAGAGGGGAGGGGAGGGGAGAGGGGAGAGAGGTAAGAGAGAGGGGAGGGGAGGGGAGAGGGGAGAGAGAGGGGGGAGAAGGGGGACGGGCAGAGGGATGGGAAGCGGGTGTGATGGAGGGAGGAAAGAGAGGCCGAGTTTGAGGGAGGGAGGGAGAGTCTAAGATGAGGCAGCTTACCGTTGCAAGGTCCACCAACGCGAACTCAACCGAGTTTAAGATCCAAACGACCAACGAAAAAAAAACCAACGATTAGGTCCAACGAACGAGAAGGTTATGGAATACGGCGTGCCTAGTGAGATCGATGTGGAGTACGGCGTGCCAAGTAAGATTGATGAGGCGTTCCTGAAACGAGACGTGAGATGAGATCGGAGTTCGGTATCGATCCTGAAACGAGATTGAAGTTCGTGTGTAGTCCTGAGGCCTGTACAGTACACAAGGAGGCAAGAGATGAATTCAGCTCCAGCACAACGCATATGCGTCGTTCAGGTGAATTTGGAGACAACACAACACAGGCACTCACGTGTGTGATTCCTCAAACTTCAATGCAGAGTAATCAAGTGTGATTGATGCGGCTGAAATGTACACAAAGCAAACTTGAACATCTTGTCAGCCCATCTTAATCAACCATCAAAAAGATCAAGCAGACTCACCGAGGCTCCTTCAGATGAAGGGTCCAAAGGAAGATTTGTGGGTGGGTAGATCAGCAGTTGACCGGGCTGGTCGGAGGGTTGATTTTTGAGGTGTTGGGATTGAATTTTTCTTTTGGGAAGTGAAATCAGGAGGCCAGAATATGAAATGGGGGGGGTAAAAAAATCTTTTGGGGGTTGAATGACCAAAGGATGATTCTTTATTGGGTTAATGGGCAGGTGGGTTGGATGAAATTTCGTCATTTGGGATTGAAATCGAGTGTGATTTTGGGGAGTGAAATCTGGCGAGTAGAATTTGAAATGGAGAGTCAAAAAAATCCTGGGTGAAATAGGCGGTAAAAAAATTCTTTCGGGGGCTTCAACATGTAGTTTGTTAACGACTTGCCCAACAAAACCAAATGAAAAGACTTACCTACGCAAAGTGGGCCAGTGTGATTCCACGCATCTTAGCTCTAAGATCATAATTTGGAACATCGTCATCATCGGAGTCACTTTCACTGTCTTCAGGAGCCTCATCTTCATAAAGATCATTCCATTGATCTTTGAGGTCAGCCAGCAGATTATGTAGAACGATGCAAGTAACTATCCATTTCACAGCGCCCTTCATCTCCTCCGCATTACGGATTTGAGTTCGAATTTCTCGTAAGCTTGCAAAACGACCTTTGAGAATGCCAATGGCATGTTCAATCCTGACTCGAGATTGTGCTAAGTGGTAGTTGAAATTGATGTTCCGACGTTTGAGCAAATGCTTGCCTTTGAACGCAGGGATAACATAACGATCGTTGGTGTAGGCTGAGTCTGCTAGTAGGAATTGCTTTCGATCAAAGTACTTTTCAGGTTGTTGGGCCACTTGCATGTGCGAAAACACATAAGCATCATGTGATGAGCCAGGAAATCCAGCCAGATAAGAAATGAACTTTTTGTTGATATCACATATGACCGTTACTGAAATGGAGTATCTGATCCAAGCAGCCAAGAGAAAATAATAATCAATCAACAAGGGAGATTTTTTATATAATTCAGCAGTATCAAAAACCTAACCTCTTCTTACGATCAAAGTAATGTTGCCCATCCTTGGGGGGCTTCTGACTCAAAGGGATGGTCGTTCCATCTACAAATCCCACACAGCCAGGGAATCCTTCCTCTCGCATGACCTGAGATGATTCTATTCGTTCAGATTCGGTAGGCCAAGTGACTAAAGAAGATCGTAATCCATAAACAGCATGAATGACTCGTCTAGTATACAGGTCGATCGTTCCAAATCCAACTTGAAACAGATTTTTGAGCCTGTGGATAGCTGAACCGTTTCCATTCGATCCAAGACGACATACTGCTACAGCAATTTGGATTGGTGGATCCCTTTGGGGATTACGAGAGTTGTTGTAGAAGATGGGGTTTTGTTCGATGAGCTGTACCAGGTTGAGGAAGCAAGGAAAAGTCATACGAAACATCTGCACAAAGCTTAATTCTGGAAGTTCTTGAAGCTCAGACAAGTCATAACGAGGATCAAATCGTGTCGTGGAGTTTCGAGCTACTAGGTATCGTTTTTGAAGCTGACTCATAGAGAAAAAGTAAAATTCTTCAAGTTCTGAGTCGTGATCTGAATCTGAATCGTCCATCATGGCCATTGCAGCAACATTGGATGCTTCGATTATTTTCTTTCTTCGAGATACTTTGGGCATGATTGCTTTTGAGGACTTGAGTGGAGGCAATCTTGGTGTTGAAGATGATGAGTTGGTGGTGGGATGATTGGTGCTGATGATGTGAAGTTTGGTGGTCAGATGATCAGTTTGGTGGTGGGATGATCGGTGCTGATGAGGTGAAGTTTGGCGGTGCAAGTGAAAATTGGCGGTGATATGAGTTGAAACAAATGGGATATTTTAATTGACTGGTTTGGGTGAAAAGATGTGTGTTTTTTTGTTCAAAACCCGTTGGGGTTGATGGAGGTGGATTTTGGAAACCCGTCAATTAATAATTGTGGATTTCAAAAAAATAATTGACGGGTTTGCAAAGGTGGATTTGCTATATTTGATACCCCCTATTGTACCTTAATTGATATTTTATATTAATTGTTACTGTCAAGAATGTCAATACAAGTGTCACACTCTTGCATCTTGACAGCAGCCCTGTTGAGGATACCAGAATGATATTCATGGAAAGAAGGCATTGAAAAAGGAAAAGGCAATAAGAAGGGGGAAGAGAGGGGAAGAGCAGTTTTGCCACTCATTTATGCTGCATTTTGGTCAAACTTGCAGGGCTCATCAGAAACTTCATAAACCTGAAGAGAGAACATATGTTGGGACAATATTACAAGATTAGTCTGGTCAAAGTTAGTTTTGATAGAAAGGGATAATTTTGTTGTACTGTTGGTTTGAATGGGACTAGGATGGAGCTCCATTTAGATTCTGGTGGTGGAATGGGGTGAGTACATATTGGCAGCAATCCTATAGGTGTCATTTGAGCGGTAGTAGAGCTTCCAGTAACCATTAGCACTACTCAACTCACTTGTCAAGTATTGATGGGTCAATACCTTTGGATTGCAAAGTTTGACGGATTTGTTCCCGTTGTTTGGCCAGCTCTTTGGCCAGCTGTTGGGCAAAAACTATCCCTTGTTCTTTTATTTCGTATTCACGTCCTGCCAAATATGAACGTTCTTCCCCTTCCTTCTTTTTGTAGGAGTGTTTCTCCTCGGGGGTGAGAGTGTCATAACGGAGCTTGTCGATAAAAAGCTTGGCAGTCGGGTCAGTCTCCACCCAGTCTGGGATCAATTGATCTTCAGAATCCTGACCGGTATTGGCAAGTATCCAGACCAGTTTTTCCAATGTGGCATCTACCCTGTCCCCCAGGGCAGCTTTGAAAATAGGGAGGGAAATAAAGCAGAATTGTTGAATGGCCCTCCCTTGTTGTATAGATGACTTGTTGTCTGGTTTGTTGGGGAGCACGTGCGAGCATTTGTCCAAATCCCAGTGTGGTGCCAGCCACAGAAGTCATTCCTTCTGCAGACACTCGGGTACCTCCGTCTTTTTCCACCGAAAATCACATATCGAGATGACATAAACTGGATTGCAACGGTGCTTAATTCGCAACTGTGGTTGTTCGCGTGGGCTGGATGGATCGAGCTTGCTGAATTTTTTTCGAGGCTCTTGTTTACCAGGCCAGCTGCTGTTCTCAATGACAAGACGAGAGCTGTAGTACACAACTTGATCAAAGTCAAAAGGCTCGAACCACCGCTGCACTTCAATATTGATTACGGTGTCGTCTTGGGTCACCGCAACAAGGTCGTACCGTAAGGTCCGCTGAACTTAATCGACAGCTACATCCTCAACGGGAAGGTATTTGAGGGGGAATATTGTTGAAACGCGCGACTGTTGCTGAGAGGCTATGTACTTCTTGCGTGGCTACTGTTACAGGCTCTTGACTCGCTGGAGGGGAACACACGAGTTTTGCAGTTTGTTTAATTTCTTTGATGGCAAATCCTTCCTTGTCGAAAATACTATTAAGAAAGGCTTTCAGAAGGGCGGGCTTGCTAAAAAGCCTCTTGAAAGCAGTATCTGATAAGGGTGATATCAAGCTGCATGTAGTGATGAATCGTGAGCTGCTCGTTTTAAGTTCTTGACAACAAACACTGAGCAAACGCCTGACTGACATGGAAAATTAGTCAACTGATAGTACAATGACAACGACACACGCACCTGAAGTGAAGCGAGCATGGCAATCGATGGAGCGTCTAATTTTATTTGGGGGACATACAAAACAACCATAGCTAGTTTCTCTTTCTTTACTGATGATCAAGCTGATGGTGTTTGGATTGAGATGAAAGAAGAGAGAAACTGATCACATGAAATATTTGAAATGAGAAGGAGCTGTAAGCAAACCGAATTGATGGAAGGGATTAGGCTTCCTTGAGTAAATTCACGACAACAGCCAACTTGCAGCAAACACCTGGAAAGGAATTATGGGAAATGATCAGGACATTGATGGCGAGGTCAGATAGGATGAAGGGGAATGGCAAATATCATACCTGAAGCTAAGCGACTTGGGAAAGATGTTCAAGTACATCTGATTGGATTTGATTATCTTGACTCTTGATGGTTGCCTTGGAGGGGATATGAGTCGGTGTAATGAACATTGCCACATGGCTCCAAAACGGCCCCGGGCCGGGCCACGCAGGCGCATCGCTGTGGTCATTATTCCTGTGTATGAAGGGAGAAAAATCAAAATTTTATTATTTATCAATGAAGGACTCAAGATATGGACTAATGGACGTCAGAAATGGAATCCACGGCCAATTTAACCCCTAGTCACTCACTGGAACCACCTTCATATCTCTACTGGATCAGAAGTTACGCAGAATCAAGGATGTCACACAGAGAATCACAGGATGATCAGAGGCACTCAGCTGGAGGGTATATTGCATGGGGGTATATTGCATATTGCATATTGAATTCCTTTATTCCATATTGAATTCCTTTTATTCTTACAGAACCACAAGTTGGCCACCAGTTGTACCAGTTAAATTCCCATTTATTCAGCCACAGAACACATGAATTCCTTTCTTACAGCTTACATATAAAAGGAATGCGTTGTAGATAGTCTAGCCAAAATCCCTCAGGATTTTCAAGGATAGGGAAGCTAAAATTTCTCATACAGGGGGTCCCTTGGGGCTAAAATCCCTCATAATTTACTATATAAGGGGGCCTCTGCCTGCCAGTTGTTTTCCTCCTCATCCCACTCAGTACACATTTTTGGTGGGACACCTGTCACAGATATTTATTACACAAGAAGTTCACGAGTAGTACAGTTCACAAATTGAAATATATACACAGTTCATTTCACAAACATTACACAAAAGAGCCAGTCCTTTGTTCCAGTCCTGGTTGAAGCATAGTGCTCCCAGACCCTTTGGGTTCAAGAACCACCTCTATTACATTATACATATACAGCATCAAGGAAGAAAACAAGTACCAATACATCAACACGAGAAACAACATCAACAACTCAATCAATTCTTTGGACAACAAGATCAACCTTCAACAATTATACAACCATCTTTGAACATAATCCATTATCACCAACCAAACTGCCAAGCTTACCTTGGTGGTCTTGTTTTCTGATAATATAGAAAGGCAGAGTTTGCAGCTCATTTCATCCCTTTCCCCATTCAGCAAAAAGGATCTTATAATCACTTTTTGAGTCTTACATCGCACGCCCCGTCCACTTCCTCCCCCTGGCGGAAGAGGGAATGGAGCGTTAATGGGAGGGCAACGGGAATAGAAGCGTGTCCATGGAGGACGTCGTTTCCGCAGCCCGGACTCAGCGGTGGGCCGCTACGCTACACTACGCTACGGGCCCATGTAGCGTTAGCGTAGCGGCGCCAATTTTTTTTTCGTGTAGTGTTAGCGCGCCGCTACGGCCGCTGCGCTACGCTAACTTGTAGCGGCGCTAACACTAGCCATTTTTTGGTGTAGTGTTAGCTCCCCGCTGGCGCCGCTACGCTACAGTGTTTTTAGCGGCAAAAAACGCCAAAAAACTGCTGTAGCGCAGCGTAGCGGGCGGTTTTTTGCGCCCTGTGCGCGTAGCGTTAGCGCAGATGGGGAGAATTGCGCTAACGCTACGCTAAATGTTAGCGCATTGTTTTGCCCCGTGCGCGTAGCGTTAGCGCTGAAAATGAAAAAAGCGCTAACGCTACGCTACATTGTAGCGATTTTTCGCTACGCTAACGCTACAGTTAGCGTAGCTGGCCCACCGTTGCCGGACTCACCCACCGTCCAGCCCTGGCGGCTGCGCCTGCCTTGGGCTACGCAGCAGAGGTAGGCGGGTCCGGGTGTTAAGGGGAAGAGCCGAGTAAGCTCAGTCTCCCACCATCCCTTGGACCACTTCGCTACCTATCCTCATCCGTCAGCCGATCTCCTATCACCTCCCCCTTAGACAAAGACAATCCCCCGCCGGTTCTTTCCTTTCCTGGCCTTTTCTTCCACCTGCCTTTTTTCGACACCTCCCGCCCGCCCTACACTGCAACAGCTAGACCCTCGCTAACAAGCGGAGGGTCTAGCGTTTGCCCCACCCCCTTTTGGGGGTGTCTTTCTGCTCCGGGGAGTGCCTCGGCAAGTCCCGTAACTCTCTCGTTTATACCTGCTCCCGACCCGGCGCTCCGGCGGGGTCGGCGGCTGAGTGACGCTGAGATTCCGGCGAGCATTGCTAGGCTCCGGGTCTCAGTCCTTGACTCCCTCTCCCCCCAGACCCACACACGGGAAGCTTGGGAGACCACTCCCTGGTCTCTGGGCTTCCCTAGGCGCCCCCTTCCCTTAGGGGACGCTGAACCTGTGAGCATTTAAGAGAGGCATTATAAAATGTGTTAGCCGATTGGCAGCGGGCCCGCTCCGCTCGGCGCGCAGCAGCGTCCGGCGAGAGCGACCCGCAGCACTTCCCCGTGCCTCCACAAAGTCCCTAATGGAGGACTTCCCGTCGGATCTGGGACCCTCGCAGAAGTCAATCTAGACCCGAAATCTCTTAATTCTCGCAGAGAAATTTGAATTTCGCGGCTCTAAACCGACTCTGGGAGACCCGCAGATGTTGACGGGAAGTCCTCTGGAGGACTTCCCGTCGGATCTGGGACCCTCGCAGAAGTCAATCTAGACCCGAAATCTCTTAATTCTCGCAGAGAAATTTGAATTTCGCGGCTCTAAACCGACTCTGGGAGACCCGCAGATGTTGACGGGAAGTCCTCCAATGGATGGATCGTTTGCAGACAGCTGTGTAAAAAAGAAGTTCAACACGGCGGACCCGGGACCCGCGCTTCGGGGGAGCCCTCCGAGAGGTTCGGGTATACTTTGCCCAAACATTTCCGCCTGAGCCTTCACCAAACGCTCCAATATAAAAAAAGAGAACTACCACTTGACCTTGTTCGGCTTGCTATATCACCTCTTTTCTCTCTTGGCTCTGAGTAACCTTCCCAGTAGTGCATCAATCCGAAAACTTGTCTTCCTCGCCCCACTCGGTCTCGATGGTCGTCCCGCCAGCGCGTCCTCGAGGGCACTCGACCTCCACATCAGAATCCGCAGATCGCGTACTCACCTCGCCGCTGGCCAAGACCACCGTGAGGGTCGTTGTACCCAAGCTGGCCGACGATTCCAAACGTCAGAGGTCGACCGACATCCGATCCTTCTTCGCTTCGGCCACCGCTCCACAAGCTCATCAGAAAAATACCCCAATCTCCTCCTCCCCAGCCACCACTGTCCTACGCACGTCTCCCTTGACCAGTCCTTCCTCTTCTCGCACGCTCCCTACACGGAAACGCACCAGGCTCAGCGACAACAAGACAATCAACAAGCAAAGCAGCAAGATTCGACGACCGATGATGTCCCAACTTATGCTCGATCTCTCGAATCGACCGACGACCCAGATCTGTAAGGAGTGCGGGATGTCGTTCGTGTTAGGAGTGGAGGAGGATGTGGAATTGCACAAGAAGCACCATCGACGGGTGGTTGAGGGTGTAGAATGGCCTCTGACGCTACTCGAGTCACAGCCGGACTGTCGGGTCGTCTGGCGCGAGCCGGGTGGGATGGAGGAGGAGAAGATAGTCAAGGTGAACCTGGATCCGCAATCACTCAAACGGAGCCGGTACAAGCACAAAGTCGAACAGATCTTGGAGATGGTCAACCGTAGTCTGGACGCCCAGGAGCTCACGGAGGACCAACTGCGGGCCTCGTCTCTCTACATCTATCTTGGCAGCCCCATCGACCGTTCGACGGGTCTTCCGGAACCCAAGAAACGTAGACTCTCCAGTGGGCTGTCGACCACACCGAAGAGCAAGAAAAAGAAAGTGGTCGTCAAGGCTATGTGTGTGGCGGCGAGGATCGAGCATGGCTATCAGATCGTTCGTGGACCGGGTAATCCAGGCGAAGAAGAACTGGATGATGCAGAGCTGCTGAGGTTTGGTGAGACGAGCTCTGAATTGTATTGCTCGTAAGTATTATTGGTCTCTCCTACTACCAAGCCAGTATGATGGAGAGAACTGATCAGTTGACTTGGGTGGTTTAGACCGAAGGCTGAGAAGACGTTGATTGGGATCCATCGGATCTGGAGTTCTCCTCACCATCGCCGTGCCGGTCTCAGCCGACGACTGCTCGATGTGGTGGCAGGGACATTTATCTATGGGATGGCCATCGATGGAATCGAGGCGCGTCGGCGGTCGATCGCGTTCAGTCAGCCAACTGAGTCTGGGATGCGGCTGGCTGCTGATTGGTTCCAGACCGTGCTCTTCAAGATCTTTATCGATTGAGCCTTCTTTTGTTTTTCTGGCTTACTCATGACCAACATCTCATTTCTTTGCATATTTTTCTTGTGATGGGTTTCCTCTTATCTCCTTTTACTCTGCTTGTAACGTTTTCTCTTGAGCCTCTTGTATGAGTAGACATACATACTCCCCCCTTCCCCTGCACATGAAACTCAGCTTGTTTTCTTGGACTCTGTGAGCAGACTTGATGAGCCGCACACATCCCTGTTGTGTATCCAGCTCTCTCGTATAGAAATGAATCAAGAGAGAAGGAGCAGGTCCCCCCGCAAGAGGCCCTACTACATAAGCCGCCCTTATTCAAGTAAAAAAAAAACAAGGGCAAATTACAATACTATGAAGTCAGCCATTATAGTGATGACAATCAAGTCAGCCAGTCGTCAATCGAATGACAGTTGAGAACATAAGCCAGTCAATCAATCAATCAATCAGCTGATCTTTATATGTATGTAGTGTTGATTGCTATGAGGCGGTGTGAATCTTGGCATGATGAAGCCGGTTGAGGTAATTTCAGTTGTTGGTTGTTGATCTTACGTAAGGCTCAGGTTGAACTGGTCGATCGATCAAACTGCTTTATTTATAAAACCAGCACTCCTCCTCATCCTCCTCTTGACCGTTCACTCCCTCCTCATCTCTTTTCTTTTCTTTCTCCTCTTTTCCCAGCCCAACCCAAGCCAATCTTCATATATCTACATAATAATATTCCCCATCATGCCCTTCGGTCCTAACACTCCTGGCACGCTCATCATCCTCGCTGGCTCGGTCTTGCTGGTACTCTCGACTATCTCCAACCCAATCATCAAATCATTCTACTTCCTATCAATCGAACTCTCCAGTAAACTGGCGGGCATACCACTCGATGGGAACATCAAACTCGGCACATTCGGTTACTGTCTCACCCTCGGCACTCAACTGGCTTGTATCAAACCAAAATTAGGCTATGACCTCCAACTCGATACCCTCGGAATCCCTCTACCCTCTCAGCTCGACCTCAGCGCTCTCAAAACAGTCATCTCAGCACTCACCTATGCACTCATCCTACATCCCATCGGTTAGTCAGAGATATTCTATATTCTATCTAATAACTAACAAGAGTACTCATCAACTCATCCACTCACCCCATCTTCCTTCACATCTTCAGCTGCCGGTCTCGCACTACTCTCCGCAATCTTCGGTATCATCTCCCACATTCGTGAATACTCCCGTTCGTGTTGGACATCCTGTTTCTCCTCGCTCGCCGCAACCGCCGCCCTCCTCGCCTTCGTCCTCGATATCGTCGCTTTCAGTCTTGCCAAGAATAGACTCAATGCGATCTCGGATCCTAATGTCTCTATCAACGCCCAACTTGGTAATGCGATCTGGATCACCCTGGCAGGCTGGCTCTGTCTGACCCTCTCTGGCTTCTTCTTCTGTGCCGGTCGATGTCTCTTTGCCAGGCGACATCGAAAGCAAGCTCAGGCCGACCAACTCCGACCTATACCTGATCAGGATTTCACCCAACGGATGAGGATCGATGCTCACGAGGCAGAAAAAGCTCGTGAGAAGGCATTCACGCCCAAGGACCAGTCGAACCTACCAGCCTTCGCAGAATATACCGACCAGCATCACAACAATCAGGAGAATATCCCATTGAATCGCTTCAATCCTCACGACGAGCAAGTCTACAACGATCAATTCCATCAGCAGCAACACTCCACCCGTTCTCCTGATTCATATCCCTCAGAGACAGTTAGTGGGGTCGGGACGGGCTACCTTCAGCCGCCACATCAGCCGCTTGCTCATCACCTCTCGGTTTCCAGTCGGCCTAGCATTTATTCTGATACGGGAGCTGCACCTCCCCATCAACTAGTCGATACTTTCTTCCCACCCTTACCACCCATGCCACCTCAGCACATGGGAGCGCCTACGAATGATATGTATCATAACTTGCCACCTCATGTTTCGCCCGCATCACACACGATGAATTCGCCCCACCGAACTCCCTCTACTTTGACAAATCGTCGTCTACCTCAATCTCTCATCCCTGCCGGTGGTATGGCCTCCCCACCAGGCTCTTACTCTTCTCATCCCAACGGCATGCCGCCAGTTGGGGTGTACCAGTCATCTCGAAGTAACTCTTACACTTCTCCTCCTCCCTCGTCATCGTCCCAGGCAACCAAACCAACCATGGCTTATCCGTCCTACGAACGGGCACATCAAAGACAAACACAGGATTCATTCACCGATCCTGCCCAGCAATATTTGGGAGGGCATCGAGGACAGCCATCTGACTATTTGCCTAGCCCACACCTTACACATCCAGCCAACTTGGATAGTGACAGTCATCGCCCGCCTCCTCAACCCGCTTCACACGCTTACCATGAATCATCCCAAACACATGAGCCGTACAATATTCCTAATCTTTCTGAGGAGCCCGGTGAACTGCAAGAGTCGAATGCGCAATACCCCACTAACCAGAATCAACATTTGAATCGCTCTGGCCATCAATTCGACAACCGAAGCACGGTCTATTCCCAAGCGACTACGATGCCGGTATATCCTCATGGAGCACAGTCATATCCCCATCATATGATCAGTTCGCCGCTAGAAGACGTCGACGAACAATCCATGTATGGTGGCACGGATCTCACAGCACCCTTGGCCATCAAACCAAAACAGTCAAAACCAAACCACTCGAATCTCACCAACACCGTGTCCCAGCCTTACTCGTTACCACCTCTCTCGTTCTCTCCTCCCCCCACACATCGAGATCTTCCTCCCCAGTCTGAAAATTCGCCTTCGGCTGTATACCCTTCCTATGACCGTAACCCTAACCTCCGATCACACGCTTAAAAGACAATTAAGTCGCTTTATCTATATTTAGTCTATGTTATCATCTTTGCCATGAAGGCACACAGAGTTTACCATTCTTTCTGACCTTGTATCGTTTCGAAATTGTAGTCTTTTGCTTGGCTCGTATCTTTGCACTCCAACATTATCTATGATCAGTTTCATTTTCTTCTGTTTCAAAAGATTTGTTTTTTGGGTTGCTCTGTTCCAATCATCATCATTTTTTTTTTCATGATGGTGGTTAACAAGTTGATTTGGTTTCATAGTTTCCAGATTTGTCATAATCAATGTCAAGTAATTGTTTTGTCTCAAAGCTGTTTATCTTTATTCAACAACAATCAATATACACAGTTTTCTTCCCCCTTCACCCTTCATTGTATCTCCGTGTTGTTTGCATTTGTCATTAGACCTTCCTGTCCACTTTCAGAGATTGTGTAAATCCAATTATAAGATCTTGTTTTAAACTATCATCTACTTGTCTTGAACTTGAAAAAATAGTTTATATAGCAGGTTATTCATCATTCTTCTGGTTCTGGATATATGTTTTGTGAATAATTAGACTATTGATTCCAGGATTCCTTTGCCAATATCTGACATACTTGTTTTTATGATGATGATCTTCATTTGTTTTTCTTTGCATTGATGTGGCATATGTGCCATTGTTCTGCACCAGGTTGCCAGTCATTTTTCTTACTCAGAGCATCTCCACCGCGGGCCCTATTTGCGGGGCCCTATATGCCTCAAATAGGGACCGCAAAAAAGACATAGGGCCCGGACAGATTCTCTTTTTCCACCACAAGCAGCTATCTTGTCTTAATTTTTCCATGAAACCTCACCCCCGACCGACCCCTCTCTCATTCCCGCCACTGCCCTTCTACCACTTCACACTTCACTATGAACACAGAAGATCTAACTGAAGATTCAACCTTCTATAAAATATGACAACAAAAACACTGATTGATTACAAGCTCGAATAGAAGGATGTACGCGGTCATACAGGCAACCAACCTACTGCTTGATGAGAAGGACAAACCCGTTCATGGTGGATCTAGGCCAGGAAAGCAACCTAATCGACCACGTGACTTTGAAGGTGCCTACCAAAAGCTTGTAGAGCACTACTTTGCCAAATTTCCCCTGTACCCCAATTCCATCTTTCGTTGACGATTTCGAATGGGCCGCGACCTTTTTTTGAAGATTTCTAAAGATGTGGAAGAACACAACACATATTTTGTTCAAAAGCCCAATGCGCTTGGGAAAATGGGATTGCATCCTTTACTCAAGATAACTGCCGCTTTGCGCATGCTAGCTTACGGATGTGTGGCCGACTGCAATGACAAATACTTACAGCTCTCAGAGACAACCTCGATGGAGAGCATGGATAATTTTTGTGACTTGATTGTTTCACTTTATGAAAGTGAATACCTCCGACATCCAACAGTGGAAGATCTAGAAAGGCTTATGAAGATCGGACAGAAACGGGGGTTTCCAGGAATGCTGGGCTCCCTTGATTGCATGCACTGGGAGTGGAAGAACTGCCCATTTGGATGGAAAGGACAGTTCCAAGGAAAGGAGAAGGTGTGTTTTTTCTCATTTCATCCTTTCATTCATTGATATCTTATCTGATCTTAATAAATTGGTTTTGATGTAAAGGTACCAACAGTTGTTCTCGAAGTGGTTGCATTCGCTGATTTGTGGATATGGCATGCCTTTTTTGGCATGCCAGGTTTGCATAACGATATCAACATACTTGACTCATCACCTCTCTTCAAGAACTTGCAGAATGGTGTTGCCCCCAGGTGCAACTACACAATCAATAATCACAAATATACAATGGGCTATTACCTTGCGGACTCAATTTACCCTGACTGGGCAACAATGGTCAAAACACTTACCCAACCTCAAGGACTCAAACAGAAGCATTACACAAAGAAACAAGAAGCCTATCAAAAAGATGTTGAGAGGACTTTCGGTGTGCTACAAGCTCGATTCGCCATTGTGTCTCGGCCAGCCCGCGGTTGGAAGCATCACAACCTTGTGAACATAATGAAGACTTGTGTCATCCTCCACAACATGATTGTGGAGGATGATCAAGAACAAAAGTTCAACTTTGACTATGATGTAGATGAACATGCTGTGGTAACAACTGTTGACGTCCTCCACCCTGTCGATATGGTCAGCCCCTCACAATTCGATTTTGATTGTTTCTTATCCATTTACCAAGAAATTCGCGATGTGGAAACACATTTCCAGCTCCTCAATGATTTAATCAGACATCTGTGGGATCTCAAAGGCCGCTCCTCTGAATGACTCTAGTGATTCCTCTCGGTTGTTCTCTCTCACTCTTCTTGCTTTTTTGGTTCTTAAAATTGATCAATCTAATTCTTTATCTTTCCATTTTGTAAATAGCCACTTGAAAACCATACATGATTCAATTGGTTCTCCTCCTGCATTTGCTCACTTCTTGCTTTTTCTCTGTCTTCTTGCTTGTTCCCTCACTGCTTGCTTGTTCTCTCTCTTCTCACTTGTTCTCCTTCTCACTTGTTTTCATTTGTGTAATCAAACTCATTCTTCTTGATTTTTTCATTCTCATGCAGCAATCAAAAATAGACAAGCAAAGAGTCATTATAAATAGATATAATGATGAGAGAGATAGATTCAGATGGTGTTGAAGAAGAAGGTAAGTAACAGGTAGTATTCAAAAGCCAGTTGGACTCGGCTTCAAGGGCCTCAAGAATAGATTGTTGTTTTAATTCAAAGTATCTTCGGGCGACGGGATTACAAGCAGACAAGTCCTTTGTCATGAGCGCGTTCACGGCATTCATCTCAGCAGTTTGGACAATTGATTTCATTGATTGGGCCTTGGTCTCCGCAATATCGTTCTGTCTTTTTGCTTGAGCCGCTATTTCTTTCTGAGCCATGGCGACATTGTCTTTCCAGTCTTCGGATCCGTCTACTCTCGATCGGTGGATGGCTTTTGCCTTCTTCTTGCCCATTGGACGGTCGGTCGACTGGGAATCTGCTGGGGTTGTTGTTGAAACCGATCCCTCGTCAGCTGTTCCAGCCGGTTCAGATGTAGGTAGTGATTGCGGCACATCGCTGCTCGGGCTTCTTGCTTGTTTCTTGGATCAATCCTTTGCAGTGATTTGTCGAAAGTGGTCATGCCACTTTGGGCACTTGACAAGTATGTTGTAGCAACGCAGATGAGAGAAAGTAGTACCTTGATCCTGGCTTAAAAGTTCAAGTGCCATGTTCAGGTGGTCTTCCAAGGAGGCTCCACTCTGATTCATGTTCTCCACTTGAATCACACACGCTTGGAATTTGTTGATGTATTTTTGGATTAAGCCCCATCGATTCTTCAAGCTCTTCTGGGGTCGTTTGGGTGCCGAGATTTATTTGCAGTAGATCTTGTGGATTCGACCCCAAAACGTTGCCGCACTTTGATCACTACCAATTCGTGAGTCTTCAGTTATAGAAATCCAGGCCTTGCACAGTTCAACATCCTCTTGCTCCTGGTAGTGACTAGATTTGGAACGTTTTTTGGTTTCTTTGGGTTCTTCATCATTCCCTCTTGGCTGATTGGAATTATTGCCGAGTGATTGGTTTGAATCTTCCTTGGCAGAATCAAATGGAAACGGTCAGCACAAAGAAATTAATCTATGATTGTTGAGAAAAAGCAAACCGGTGTGGAACTACTCTTGGGAGGAATAGAGCTTGAGAGGGATGAGTGCTTTAATGGGCTGCCTCTCTGATAACAAGAAAATATAAGAGTATGGACTCTTAAGGAAAAACGTGTGGCTGTGGAGATTTCTTGAGGATGGTATGTCTAATATTTCTTATGTTTACTAGTCTAAATATACTTGTTCACAAATCAAGGTATCCCAAATGTTGATGGGCAAATACCTGGCTAATAATGGGTGATCAGTTATCTGAATTGCTGGGGCAGGATCTGATGTGGAACAAATGAAGAGGAAAAACAAAGCTCCTTCTATACAAGATTCTGCGGAGTGGCCAATTTGTGGTTGAAGGATGGATGGAACAAAATGGAACAAAGACTGAACCAGGAAGAAAATTGTAACTATGAACAATGTGGCCTAATTTAGTGTGGCACTAAGATAAGATAAGACTAGACTGAAACCACAGAAAGGGCCAAGCTAAGATAAGGTAATGAATTCATTCTGAAACAGAGAGAGGCTTGGATAATCTTATCAAGGGGAAGAGGTGAGGGTAATTATTTCACCCAGATGGGGATTGAACAGACAATGGGAAGAAAGGGCCAAAAGAGGGCTAGTATGAAACATGGCTGTTGTGTGGGAATTCTTGAGATAAGATGGAAGGAGATAAGAGATAAGGAATATATTTTAGAGGGGTTTGATGTTATATTGAGAAGGGTTACTAGTGTTTAGCTGGTGTGTGAGCTAAGTCTTATCAATAATGAACTAGGAATTTGGTCTTGGGTTTCATCTGAGGGGTTTCAGAGGTGTGGGAGATGTTATTATCCATGAGGGGGATAATTGTGAGGGTTATTGGTGTGTTACCTTTGTTTGAGGGCCTGGGTAAACTCTTGAGGAGCCTTGAGTCTGTGATTCTTGTATGATATGTAGCCTTGCTGTGCCTTGAGATTCAGGATTGGCTTACCACACCGGTTTGGTTTGGAATATCTCCTAGTCGTCCATGGGTATCGGGGTTCCTTGCCAAGTTCATGTTTGCTGGGACGGTAGATAGCGCCGCCAGCATTGGATCCAGGGGGGCCATTGTACTTGGTGTACGGGTGTACTTCTCTAGGGGGGACGGGGGTTGAAGGTGTTTGTGAAACCTATCAAAGGGGGGGAGGATCACAAGGAAGAGTGATGGAGGCCGGGCCCTATCGAGGCTGTATACATACAGCTCGATAGGGACTTTCGAGCCTCGTCCCTATTATAGTGCCCCACATAGGGGCCGCAGTGGGTGTTGTTTTTGGCCTCGCGGGCCCTATATGTGGGATAGGGACCCGATATAGGGCCCGCGGTGGAGATGCTCTCAATATGCTCTATTTTTACATACACCAACATCAGCCTTCACTGTGCCCACAAACTCATCTCCTTGACCAACCTATCCACCAGCTTACATTGGAATGATCAATAATCAGTAGTCTTGTGTGATTCTTGAAGGATATAGCCTCATATAGGGTATATATGCTTGACCCTTTGGAATAGGGTTTAACTTTTGGAATTGGATCTTGAGCATGGAGTGGGTGTTGAGGTAGGAGTTTGTAGCAAGTTTGTGCTTTAACTAAAACAGGTGACTTTTCATCCTGTATTTATCCTAGACATCCTCTGGATCAGTCTAGATGCCTTTTCCTAGTAAGTGAATCAGAACCCTCTCTTTCTTTCTTCCTTACTCTTCAAGTGTAGCCTGACAGAGCCTCTCATAAAGAGCCAAGAGTGCAGTCCCAATTAGTGAGCTCCTTCATATCTCACAGGTTTGTGCTTTGGATTACAACTGCTTTCATCAGTTCATACAGGCAACCCCATCCAAGGTCGTACAATTCTAATGGCATTGGCATGATCTGCTGAACTGCATAGGAAAAATCTGAAAACAATCCACTGTTTGACTGCATATCAGTACATTTCCCGTAAGGGCATGCATTACTCCCCTAAGGCTATGGTAAAATCTTGTGACCAAGGGGTAGGCCCTAAGAAGGCTTAACAAGTTGTCCATTCCGATCCTTTGATCCCCATAAGAACTAAACGATAGCACGATGTTCGCTTGCCAGTTGAGGGGTAATTAGGGGCCCTTATGCTGGGCCACTACTTGCGCCAATGCTCCGGCGATTCTTCTGGTTGGGGATGGTCATCCCGAAACCGCGACGTACCCGAGGCAGCCCAGACAAAGCAAGACTTTCTTGCGGGTTTGGGTAAAATGATTTTTCTCCCTCTAGTGTCTCGTTGGGTGAAATGATGGGTTTTCTCCCTCCAGTGTCTCTTCGTGCCCTTGCTTCCAAAGTGCTGATCAGCTGAGGAGAAGTCTTTGTCACGGTGACAGCATGTAGGTCGACGCGATAGCGCGGAAGATTGAAAATGGTCATAGCCTTAGGTTTGCTGAATGTTCAACTTTTCTACTCTTGCATCTGGTATCACAGCCGTCACACTGGGCTCATTTTCCTACAGTTGCTACCTATCCTTGGGGTGCGTATTTAGAGCAACTCCACCGCGGCCCCTATTTTTGGGCCACTAAATTTTGATTGTTGGGACTGCGAAGCCAACTTTACAGCCTCAAAGTGCTGCGGCATACACCGCGAGAGTCTTTAACAATGTGTGACAGGATGAGTGGTGTGTGAAGTTGGAACCGATTTGTATTGAGGTAGTAGAGTTTCACAAGTTAGTTGTTATGTGAAAGGGGATTGGGAGGTCAATAGAGGAGTCGCTAGGAGTCCCTACATGTAGGGACTCGGGCACAAAATTTAGGGGCGGCCGTAGATTTGAGACTCAAACAGTGGCCGCGGTGGCTCATGTTGGGTCGGTAAATTCCAACTAGGGACCCGATTTAGCGCCCGCGGTGGAGTTGCTCTTAATGCGTACCTTGGCTGTGATGACTAAGAGCAACTCCACCGCGGCCCCTATTTTTGGGCCGTTAAATTCTGATCGTTGGGACTGCAAAGCCAACTTTACAGCCTCAAAGTGCTGCGGCATACACCGCGAGAGTCTTTAACAATGTGTGACAGGATGAGTGGTGTGTGAAGTTGGAACCGATTTGTATTGAGGTAGTAGAGTTTCACAAGTTAGTTGTTATGTGAAAGGGGATTGGGAGGTCGATAGAGGAGTCGCTAGGAGTCCCTACATGTAGGGACTCGGGCACAAAATTTAGGGGCGGCCGTAGATTTGAGACTCAAACAGCGGCCGCGGTGGCTCATGTTGGGTCGATAAATTCCAACTAGGGACCCGATTTAGCGCCCGCGGTGGAGATGCTCTAAGGATATGGGATCACAATTCTCAGATTCTGAGAACAAGGACGAATGTCAACAGACGAGCTGAACGACAACAAAGGCTTGATGGTTCTCATAGAAGGGCGAAGTCAATTTAAATTTAGGGAGATCCCTATAATACTATGTGATTGCTTGATGACAGCGATAATGATAGTAAAGAAAATCAAATATTGCGATGTGGAAAAGGATACAACAGATGGAAATATGCAGGGTCTGCTTAAGTACGATTTTCTGGGTACAAGACTTCGCTTTTGCAATGGTTCAATCGATCCTCGGACTTGCTTGATTCTCTCAACACTTCTCGATCCTAGGTCTTGCTTGATAAGAAAAGTCCCATCGCACTCCGAAACCTGTGACGAAATATACATTAATCTGAACGAGAAATAAACTGCTCAGGTCTGTTCCTGTCGATCTCTTCTGTAAGAACTCCCGATTCTTACATTGGCTTGTCAACATGCCTGGCTCAAACCTATTGGTAATGGTTACCGTCGCCACAGTTTAAAATGAATCGAATGCTACGTCAATACACGAGCGCTCTTGGTCGCTATCAGCACTTTCGCAAGGCACTGTCCTTGTGGAATCGGAAAGGGTAAGTATGCGATTTTAATTATTTCTATGCGATACCAGTTACCAATCCGCACCGAAGCCTACAGACTGCGACTTGACGGCTGCACTACTTGAAGCTGCTCACCATCCTAGCCGCCTTCCTACTGGTATTCCGGACCTAGCGAAATCGCACTCGTATCGGGCGGTTAAGTTTCATAATCTTTAATTCAGAATTTTACTCCGTAAGTCATTTTGAAAATGCATCATAATTCCGTGCACTGTCATCAAATTTTTTCATAGAATAGATTATCGACAACGGTAAGAAATGATAGCACTATCCGGGGTCTAATGAATGCGTTTCTGTTCAATTTTTTCTAGTCATTACCAGTACTTTGAAGAAAATGCCGATCTTTGGACCGAATACGCTTGGCACGCTTGTTATCCTACTGGCCACGATAGCGTTGATTGTGGTATTAGCCTCAGCTCCACATCATCCTAACCTCTATTTTCTAGCCGCAACAGTCAACTCAAAGGCTTCAAATCTCAATCAAGCAGGCATCATCAAGCTGGGCGTCTTTGGATACTGTATCTCGACTGAACAGGGTACAGAGGTCTGCCCACCTCCTTCCATTGGATATGCACTTGGTAAGCTACTGCGCGTTTCGCATTATATAGACTCTCTAGAAATGGCAGAAATGGCGTACATCTTCACATTTGTTCACTTGTTCACATGTTTTTCTGATCCTTTTTGCTCTACTCTCTTTGAAATCTTAGATCCCAAAGTGATGTTCGGCTTGCCAGAACTACCAGAAATGATCAAGCTTTCAGATAACATCATTCGGAATATGACAAAAGTGCTTGTTCTGCATGTTTTAGGTATGCTTCTTTTCTTTTGGTTTGGACAGAGAAGTATGCAGTTGAGATAAACATTAATAATTACCTTTATCGACCTACCTACAAACTTGAAGCCACCATCTTGGCAGGGTTGGCTTTCATATCGGGGCTGGTCTCCCACATAGAAGAGTTTTCAAAGACCTGTTGGACGTCATGCTTTGCATCCATGTCAGCCTCAGTAACTCTCTTGGTGACGATTTTCGATTTGATTTTCTTCTCGATCATAAAGGCCAGGATTAACGCGATGAAGTCCTCCGACCAATCAATTAGCGCCCAATTCGGAAACGCTCTGGGGCTTACAATTGTCGCTTGGATTTTGCTTGCCTTCAGTGGATGCTTCTTCTGCGCCGGAAGATGCCTGTGCAGCTTTAGACGCCATAAGAGGAGCAACGAGCATCATAGACTAGAACCTTTCACAAGCGAGAAAAGTGGCCGGCAGTATCCCCCATACCATTAAGGAAACACCTGGAAAGTAGTTCAGGACTGAACAAAACTGGCCCGCCCCCAACCATTCCAGTCAACATAACCAGAAGAGAAGCCTACAAACAAACGGACCATTTGCACACGGTTGAAATTGATCTACCCTCAAAAGGCACAAAGACAGTGGAGATGCCTTTTGATCCTGCTTCATTTTAAACCAGTTTACAGTATCAAGTGAACAGTCTTTTTGATTAGTGGGATAGATTTTGCATTATATAAGTTTCAAGATTGTATAAGTATTGCGAAGTTGAATTTATTTGTTATGTATGTAAGTACTATCAAACTCGAATGGTTGAACTCCAGGGTCAGTGATCAGGAACAATGGGACTGAAAAAAAAAGTTTCAAAATGAGCTGCCTTTCTCATGTCTTACATGGCAATCTCAGAATCTTCCTTTGGCAGACTGGCCTTTGTGGCTCACTAAAATTTTCTTCTTTAAAGAAGTCCTGGATCCCATGAAATCAAAAAAAGAAGTGAGAAACAACATTATGATCAAGAATTTAAACCTCAGCTTTGCACATTTAACATGGTCAAAATGATCACATCAGCAAATTGATAAAATCCCAGAATAAATTGAAGATGTGCTGAACATGAAAGACAATGAGAAGGTTCATCAGACCTGAAGCCCACAATTTACAGATAATCTTTCTGAATCTGAAGCAATCTGGTTTGTTCAACAGCAACTTCAATTCTTATGCTTTTTGTAAACATTGGAGGACTTCCCGTCGCAATCTACGACCCTCCCAGAAGTCGATTTACACCCCTTAGATCTAAATTTTTTATCAAAAAAATCATTTTTCCTGAAGCCTTCTGGTAATAGCTCTCACATGAGCTGGTTGAAATGTTCATTGTGTTCTTAATTTAAGACTGAGAAAGGTCTAAAAAGCACTCTAAACCGCGACGGGAAGTCCTCCATTGTTTGTTTTTTTGGAAAAAAAAGGAAAAGAAATGCAAGGGGATGAAGATCCCAGTCCTTTTACAAGCAAAAACACTCCTCTAAATCAAATCATACAAACCAGGATATCTGGGGAAGCCCCATACTCCGTCTTGTATCAGAACCCGGCCATACTTGACTCTACTTAGTTACAGATATATTGAAGTGAATATTTTCTTTGCACTCAAACTGGTTCTTTATTGTAACAGTAGAGCTAAAGATATGTTAGTGATGTGACTCATTCCAATTTCCAAGCAGATAGGATCTTGGCTGTTCTCGATCTGTTTGCGCACAGCTCTGCGCGGAGATGTGAAAGGTGAGTTGAGTGTCTTGGTGACATAGCCGAGACAGGTGAGTGAGTGTGGCCTAAATCCCGGCTGTGCAGTAAAAAGTTGCAAGTCACCACTGAACCACTCAAAGGGAGAATTCGATCGGAAATGAGCTCGACCATCCTGCCTCTAGGTAAGCATACCCCCACCCATCCATCCGACTCGTCCTCCCCCAGATGGGAGACAGGTAGATGACAATACTGATGATGCGCGTCATTTTTTTAATCTGGCTACAGAACTAATCGATCGATGTATTGGCTCGCGAATATGGGTGATCATGAAAACTGGACGCGAGTTTACTGGGAAGTTACTCGGCTTTGACGATTACGTTAGTAAGTCTGGATCAATCAATCTCAAACCACCCAAGAAAGGAAGAGTGGAAGAACTGTCCAAATGATAGATCTTCAATCTCTTCATCTTCTAGTCCTGGGATTGAACTGATACTTGATTTTCTTTGAAAAAATAAAACAGATATGGTACTAGAAGATGTAACCGAATTGTAAGATAAAGCCCTGTTTCTATCTTCTCAGCGCTCTTCGCTTCCGAGTTTCTTGGCTCTGTGATTGACTTTTTCAGCCGTCTTGACTGACACAAAAACACAATTTCTTAATCAACTGGACCACAGTGAAACCACGGCTGAAGGACAGAAAGTAACCAACCTAAAACAAACACTCTTAAACGGAAACCAAATCGTACGTCATTCTTTTTTAACTACCACTTCTCTCTCGACGAGAACGCAAAGAGAAAGGGACTAATCCCACGACCCGACCCTGTTTCGGATTCTTTACCTCTACTCGATCGCTTGGAACCCATTCATGTCGAAAGTGTATGGTAAGTGGTTCAATCCCGATGTCCTCTCCTTGTCAAGCACGCCAGAAGGCTGATAAACTGACGGCTCATATCTCCTATGAAAACATGCTCCCCTTCTCCATCTGTACACACTCTGTTTTCTTCGGACCAATTTGTAAAGCTTGTACCCGGTGGAAACGGGCCTGAACCCTGACCCCTTAGTATTCCCATCCACTCCACTTCAATCCCCTTTCTTTCTTTCTTTCTTTCTGTGTGCGTGTTTTGTTGGTTTTCTTGGTTTCTATGTATTAAAACACATACATCTTTCCGGAGCAGGATGCATGGAAATAGAAGAACCGAAGTTGAAGAATTCACATTTCATTTGTGAAAGGTATAAAAGTGAAGCAATGCAATACTGATGAACAAGTTGGTAGATTCTAGTGTTTCAACATCTGAGCTGAAACAACCAGTGAGCAGTCTTGTGTCGCCCGACTGGGGTCTCCTTTTTATGATGTGAGGCCGCCTGGGACTGGTCAAGGCCCGAATATCTGAACTCAAGATCAGTTGTCATTGTCTTGATAGTTCTACCCTTTGAATGATCGAATATGAACTGTCCATGTTATCCACAAGCCAAAGTCTTGTCCAGCAGTCGCCGTTTTTTTTCAGGCATTTCCTTTCCTGAATACCAACTGTCCAGTAAAGGAAGCCTTCAAAAATATGGACTGTCCAATTACCCCTTCAAAATATGGCAAACAGATACGTCTACTGAGAGATATCTCAACCACTGTGAATGAACACTTTCTTCTGGGGAAAGATCAAACCAGAAGCATGGAAAAGTGGACTGCTCAAACTTGTGTTGAGACAAACAAAAGACGATGATCCCCATTTTCTTAACAAAAAAAAATACAGGCTAATTCACCATGAAAGAAAAGTATAAATAGTGTGTTCTATTTGAACATTAATTAACCGAATTAATGAAAGAAAAGTCTATAGCACAGGTAAAAGATCGTCATCGCCTAGAAGACGACCACCGGGTCCTCTGACCACTCCGCCTCTATTACCAGGGACCATGGGATTAGGACAGGTGTTTGCGTAGTGGCCTCTTTGGCCGCACTGATAGAACGATCGAGGAAAAGTGGCGGGGGGGGGATCAGAAACTTGATGAAAAATGGATGGGGTTCACTCAGAAGAAGGAATGCGGACGAACTTTGAAACAAGTGACTTCATCCAAGTTCCTCTTCTTCCGTGGCCCCGAATCAGTCTGGACCCAATGCTCGTCATTCGGAAGGACTTCGTGAGGATGGTGATTGGGATTAGTTGGAGGGTTGGAGGAGGGGTTGAGGAGTGGGTTGATTGGGTGATTGAGGATACTATTGGCTTTGAGGTTGATTTGGTGTTGGATCAGGTGGGGGTTCAAGGCAGGGTTAGCCTGTTGATTAGGATGCTGTGGTAGGAACTGTGGTTGTTGAGGATGGTGGTGTTGATTCTGGATCTGCTGCTGCTGCTGCTGTTGTTGCTGTTGGTGGTGTTTGTGGATTCCCATCGGGGGTTTCGGGTTCGATTGCCCGCTGTAGTTGTTGAGCATCGGCCGATCGGGGTCTCCCCGTGGACGATCGAATGGGTTGAAGGAGTTGATGTACGGGTTCCCCCGGGGAGTTGGGTCCACCTCAAACTTCGGGTGCCCCCCGATGTGGCAGGTCTTTTCGTAGGGACAGAACCCAGCCATGTATAATCGGCAGATCGGTCTTCTGATGTGTTTTTGTGGACAGTCGGGCCCTTAATGATCCAAATCAGAAAAACAAGAAACAATTGTGTGTGTGTAGGTTTTTTTCTATGAATCTTCTTGTCACTTGAGCGCTGTTCTTTTCGATTAAAATTTAATGTATACAAGGACAGACGGACCTTTGGGACAGAACCCTCTACGGAAGTCCATACATTCGAGCACTCTCATCCGTTCATCGACATGTAGATACATACATTCATCACCATTACTGCAGAATCCATATTTGCCAAAGAACCAACATTCAGGCATAGTCCGGAGGTTGTACTCGTGCAGGAATTCACATGAGTTCCCCTTTTTGCATAGACCACGTAACCAATGTTTGCAGACCGTCTTAGAGTGGGAGGAGTGGTGGTGATGGTGGTGGTTCCGGTTCGCGGCTGAGCCGACAGGAGGGGTGGTGAAGTTGAGGCTGGAAGGGGTGGCATGGCGGAATGGACATTGGTTTCCTAGTTGGCAGGGTGGCTGCTGGTTCTCGCCTGAGGATGGCTGGTTGATCGAGGAGAGATGGAGGAGATGCTGTGGACAGAGTTGTTGGTCGGTATCCAGTTTGAGGCCGAGTTCCTCCTTGAGATGTTTCTCGATCTCCAGTTCGACATGTCTTAGATCTGGCCTGAGTACGATGGTCGTGCTGATCGGGAGACTATTATTAGACGAGCCTGCTGCTGCTGCTGCTGATGGTTTTGGTAGTGGTGGGATGGCCATGGCGTTTGAGCAGTGGGGTGGGGTTTGGCTTACATTTTTTCGCTCGGCCTCCTTGACTTGTGGAGTGAGTCTGATCGATGGAGCCCCCCTCCGAGGGCTGAGATCGGACCCCCCCTGCACAATAGCAGAACCTTGATGTCAAACTCAGGTCGGAAACCTCGTGAAAAATCTTTGAAAAAATAAAATATCAAAAATCTATAATCTACATTCGTTTATGGTTACCAGTCCTTTTATCTTCTATATGTTTGTTTCTAAACTTTTGAGTAACGGATCAAAGATATGTTATAGAATTGTCACCCAGGTTATGAATTTCACTCTTTAATGACGATAGTAAGATGTTGTTACAATAACGCTCAAATATTTGTACTTATAAAAGACGCTATGTTTTCCCTCTCGATTTTGTCTCCCCAAGAGACTTATTTTGTTATTTTCTCTATCATTACAAAAACATAGTAGCATACATACAAAAGTAAAAATCAAGTTTATAGTTAGAAAAGTCAGAAAGCTTAGTTATAAAGTAAAAAAGCTCCCAAGTCGCCGTATTCTTTACACTTGAACGCAGCAATCATAGTTACTTCCCTTCAGCCGGATTCTCAAAATCCCTGATCAGCCTTGCCTCAAGTCAACGGAACAGTTAGAAGATATTCTACATGCCTCTCAAGCCACTCTAACATTTCTCATGAACACTTCCCTACAAGCAATGACTTGCTCAGATCAGTCTGAAATGTGCAGTGTAGAACTTTTATGGAGTTTTATGAATGTAATGTGTCGAAGACGTTAGCCCTCGACATGAAGATCATAAGTTGTCTTTTCAATGTCTTTTCAAACGGGACCTTTTCTCCCAAGTAAAACGGCAAAAGTGAGATTGTCTCCAGCGGAAGGAAACTAAACAGGATTTCAAGATTGCACAGGATGAAGAAAAGCAAGAGATGGATCATGGATGGAGGGACGTGGGGGTCAGGCCACCAGAAGGGGATGTCCTCTCACATTTTCTCGGTGCAGCTTGGGGAACATGAACATTTTCTGAAAAAATCAATCACAAACAGGATCAAGAACTACATTGACCGAATGCACTACAAATTCGCACGAGGGAATTACAGGACCGAAATCTGACGCTAAGGGTCTTCTGGGGGGAAACAAGCCATGGCTGGCTCCATAAGAAGCATATCAAGCAGACACACACTCACACTGACACTGAGAGAAAAATAAGAGACTTCAAAATCGGAATTTTTGCAAGATTTTTCAAAAACAGAGATAATGATTAAACAGGCAGAGTATGAAATGTGCAATTTTCTTTTTCTGGAAAGGTCTACAGAAGACATGATTATATTCAAGATAAGTTAGAGAGAGTATAGAAGACGAGTTTTCTCTTTCTTTTTTTGGCGGAAAGGTCTACAAAAGAGACTGGAGATAAGTGAAGATAATTTATGTGAGGATATTGACAGAACCAGAACTACAAATAATATTTGAATAGATTAAGATGAGATAGTTTTTGTGTCCCCTGTGGGTCTCGTTGTTGACTTTCTTCCCTTGGATGGAAGAGGTGGGCATTACCGAGAAAAGGGGACAAGGAGAAAAAAGGCCTTCAAGACCTGATTATCCTTCTCTTTTTTGTTTTCAACATATGCAACAAAGAAGATTACGTTTTGTCATAAGAGTACAGAAGAGTAGGGATTTGGGGACCATGGCAAGATGACCCGATAGAAAGCAAGACAAGCGGGGCGGTCCTCTTAGTCGATCAAACGTCCTGAACGATCGAATCCGTGTGGTTCTTGCGGCCAAGGATTTTAGAGAACAGTCCGGCCAATCGGATGTCTTTCAAGACCGGGGTAGAAACATGGGTGCTCATCGTCCTCTTCTTCTTCAACGTCTTCGGCCGAGGAGCAGAGGGAGAGTAGCCGATCCCACCAATCACCGACGAGAACGGCCCTTCCAGAGTGTCTGATAGCCCATTGGTAGGTTCCACCTGAGCCGAATCGCTTCTGAAGTATTTCTTCGCCAGCGAAACCTTGAACTGTCGTGGGGACTTGCTCGTCTTGCCTTCAGCTGTTGTCTGAATGGATCCTTCAGCGGGCAAAGACTTAGGAGATTCATAAAGATTCCAGAGAGAAGGAGACAGTCAGCATAATTGGCTTGATATAGCTTCCTAAAAAGAGAGATGGAAGGAAACTCACTTGTTCTGATTTACTTTCTTGCTTCTGTTGGCCAAGGGCTAGGGCAGAGTTAGAATTAACCGCAGGCGGATTTTTGCTTTCGACGGACTCGACGATTTCCAGCTTTTCGTCACTATGGCTGGTATGTTTAGACCTGGGGTCATTGGAACCTTTGGAGTCTTGTACTTTAGGCAGCGGGGGTACGGGTTCATCGGAACCTCGGGTCGCCCAGGAGAGCCCGCTCTTGCGTCTGAGCGTGCTCAAGGACTTCCTCTTTGGCAGTCCTTTCTTCCCGAATGATCGAGTATCCTCGTCTGAAGATTGGATCGAAGTCGAAGTCGGGCTGTGAGCCGAGTCTACCTTCGCAGAATCTTTCTTGGTGTGTAGTTTGAAGAAGCCCGAAATCGAACGCGCACGAAGAGTACGCTTGGAGGATACCGGCACTGACGAGGTCTTGATTTTCTCGGTCGCTGGGCCTTGCGGCTCCACCGCTGCCGCCAAGTTCTTGTCGCGCACAGACTCATTGAAAATGTTGGATCGCAACAATGGGTCGACGATTTCTGTTGACGAACTCATCCTGTTTGTTGGGTTGAGGGACCAAGTGGTGCGGTTGTCTTGGGCCGGGCTTGCGGTGGGAAAGGTTACAGTCGGGAGATTCGATGAATCAGTTTGGGGCGGTTTAACTGGAGAATCTTCAGCTGGGCCATTACTGGCTTGGGATGGCTCAAGGGGTTTGTTAGATTTGGGATCGCTGGCGACGGTGACATTGGCGGATGGTGGAGGATTTGGATCGGCTGGTGCCTGTTCCGCATTGAGTCCGGCCACAATCAGGAATTCTTCCGGCACTGTGGTAACTTTATTGTCCGAGGCGGGCGCACGGGGAATGGTGCCAGCTGAGTCCGCTGGCTCACTGTTATTGAGGGTATCCGTAGCATTGGGGGTTTTTGAAGTGGGCACCGGTAATTGATCAGCCTGAGGCTCATGTGGCAATTCGGGCGCGTTCACTGACTCCAACACCGATGCTGGACGGGGGGCTGGGGTGATATTACTTTCCGGAGTCACTTCGCCATCTGCTTGTGGTGTAGCTTCCGCTTCCGCCTGAGAATCGATGGCAGCAGTGCCAACTGAGTCAACCAAGCTTTTATTGGGGGCATCCGTGGAGGCAGCCGTCTCATTCCCATCTGGATGAACGATGGCCGGTTCGCTACTTGCCTCTGGTTCATTCTGGGTGTCACTCGAGGTGAGTTCTGAAGGGCCAGGCTGCTCCCCCGCAGGCGTCACCTTCGACAAATCATCTCCTAGGTGCTTTTCAGCAGGACTGTCCCCATTGTCAAACCTGATCAAGTCATCCGAGACTTCCATCAAGGAGCACCCAGTCGCGGCTACCTGCGGAAGTGTCGGGGGAAGTGCCTGCAAAGCGCAGCCGGTACCAACTTCTGCAGTTGGGTTTGGACGCAATTCAGATGGGTGAACTGGCTCCGAGTAGCTAGAATCCTCCACCGAATCAGTCGGATTATCCCGCAAGGCGAGTTCGGTGTTTTGTAAGTCAGGAGCAGATACTTCGATGCCTTGTAGTTCGGAGGCAGATACTTGGGTGCCTTGCAGGTCAGGGGCAGATACTACGGTGTTTTGCCTGCCAGTAGCAGATTGAAGAAGTGGGCTCCCATGAGAATCCGCAGCGTTCCCAGAATTCGGATCTCCTTCATCAATCGGTTCAGTGGGACTATTGATGGCGACGGAGGTGTATGACTCGACGATGTCATGAGTGTCCAGTAAAGTAGAATCTGCACCTAGGCCAGCCAAAACAAATGATATGTGCCCAAAATACAATGCGACAACAGCATTAACCAACTGCTAAAGGGGAGAGTGAAGCGCATTGTAGAATTGATTACCTGATGCGTATGGCTGCTCAGTATAACTTTCTGGCAGTCGTTGATCAATGTCAAGAAGAGGCATTGTTGGATTACCATCCGTGGCGTCCATGGCGCTTGGGTCCACCAGACTGGCCTCGGGATAGAGGGAGTCACTACAGAAGAAGAAAGGGGGCAGGACCAGTTTATCAAACTCCTTAGGTGATTGCTCTGGCGTCGTCCCAGCTGTAGAGATCGATCCTACGGAGGAATCTTGAGCTTGATAAGTTCTCAAGACGATCGCAGGACCGATAGTACGATAGGAAAAAGCGTCGTGGCTTGGGGGGCTGGAGCTAGCTGAGCCGTCAGAGGATGAAAGTCTTTTGTTTTCCGGATGCGCCTGCGAGGCAGATGCTTCGATCACTTCAAAGGCGGTTTGAGGCAGTCTTGTCAGCCAACACTTGGGGTAACGAAAGGAAAGGAAGAAGCACATGGTTGCGAGTGCTAGAGTATCGGTTTACCTTGGTCTGATTGGCCCAAGTCTCCCTGGAAAGCAGCTCTGGTATTTTAAGAATCAACAATCAAAATTTCGCGTTAACCTCTACAGCTGAGTTATTCTAATTGGAACAACGTAGAGATGATATAGATGTTCTAGCGCAAACAAAGAAAAAAAAAAAGGAGAAATACCAGGACAGATGACAATAGCCACAAGAGCCAGAGTAAACTGAAGGATAAATATATGTAAATACTTACGCGTTAACTGAATGGCTTGGGTTTGGGCTGCTCATATCTTCAGCCTGGCTTATCTGGTTAGAAGTTGAATACGCGAATGAATGTGAGGTACGGGAGGTTCGCTGAGAGGATGAAGCAGAGCGTGGAGCCGACGGCGACAAGATGAGTAGATGCTGATTAAGATTGTGAATATCGATGCTAGGGCCGGTAAGTTCTTCGGATGAAGAGCTGGTACTGCTCCCGGTGGATAGAGTAACACGGCTACGACGAGGGGCAGCTGAAACTGGAGTTTGGCTGGCGGTCTGGAAACCTGTTAGATTGGAGGGTAGAATGATGCGGCGCCGGTCAGATGGGATGCTCAAGCAACGTCTTTAGAAATCAGTGGGCAAGACAAGAGAGGAGCTAGATATTTAGATGGCTGGATGAAAGATGAGCGAAAGAGATGAGTAGATATTTATTTATGTGGATAGGAGCTATGTAGCTCAGCTGAAGTAGAACGGCTCAGTGGGATGAAAATTTCAAACCAGATGACCTCAGACAGACGGAGATCTGATCAAAATCATCAAGAAAAAAAACAAAACCGGAAGAGAGATGGACCAGGAGAGAATAAATTAGGGGGGCCGAGACTCTCCGGGACAGGAATCCGGATGGAAAGAAAGGCGAGTTGATGATGAATAAGAATGGAGCTATGTCATCCCAAGTACAAGCAAAAGGAAGATGGTGAATGCATAAGCAATAAAAAAATATTCAGAATTCTTTTTTGGGGTTCTAAATGCACAAGTGTCAGTTTTATGGAGGGAAGGGGAGGGGGTAAATAAATGTTTACTTGTGAGGTGCAACTTGGCGATTCTAAGCGCCAGAGATGGATCAAAAAGTCGATGGGAGAATTCAGTTGATTATACAAAAGGAGGAATTCAAACGATGCATATATTATAAAAAAGATAGGGTTTAAGGCAGACTCGATGACAAGCCATTCAATCCCTCGGAGAGAATCCAAAGAGCTCAATTAACAACATTGGAGGAGGAAGGAAGGAAGGAAAAGTTTTACTGGAGGATCGATACATATCCAGAGCGATATCATGGCAGCAGTCAAAGCTTGGAGAATATCTTGACGACACCAAGATTGGCGCATAAAAGTCCAACAACATTTGCAGTTCACGTTCTTTTGGACGGGCAGTTGCACTGATCATAGTCGGGACAGGTAGGATTGTACATATTTACTTGGATGGGGCATATAGATATATATATGTATATATAAGGAAATAGAAGACTGACCATCGTCCAAACTGCATGTCATGATGGAGGAGCGATTGGAGCGCTGAGCTAGTTTGACATGGGCAGATGATCCCGGCTGAGGCGTGGAGGGATACCAACCAGGTAAATGGGGAGAAGGCGTAGGGCCGACAGAGTTGATGCTGGGTTCGTAAATCTTTCCAGCTTGATGAGCTTGCGGGGTTGAATGGGGATCGATGTCGGAAGAAAGTGGTGGAGGTTGAGGATGGTAGGAAGCCGGAGTAGAGGGGATCGAGGTGAACGGGTCATCGTCGGTGGAACAGTGCTCATACGAATAGCCCCGAGCCGGATGGGACAGGCTGTCTGAAGGGATCATCGCTTAGAAGACCGAAGGAGAATTATCCCAAGAATTTGATGATGATGGAATATGGATAATAAAATAATTCTTCGAAAAACAGATGCTAGCTGCTGCTGCTTAAGAGAGGTCAGATGCTCCTCTGGCTCAAAAAAAAGGAGAAGAAGAAAACTCAAGACGCGTCAAAATCCAAGGGGGGGATAGGGATCAGGTGAAGAGGTCGATTGATGAGCAAATCAGCTTGACTCCTATGACTGACTGATACGCAAATAAGTTTTCAGCCTACCTGAATATGTACCTCGTCTGCAAGCAGAGGCAGAGGCGCCGTCGTCCGATGAGAGCTGATGTGTAGAAGCTGCTGCTGCTGATGATGAGGTTGGAAGATGAAGTGCTTGTGGTGTGTATGTACAACAAGACTCGAGGAAAAGCAAGTTACCCAGACGCTGTCAGGGGTGGAACTTGACTCTGCTGGATTTTTGTTGGCCACTGTACAACACGAATGTGTATTTATTCAAGCTGTTGGATAATTTTGATGCAAAGAAATATTTCTACGTGTGCCAGGTGCCACTTCGACTTCGCTCCGGCCTCCCAAGTCGCAGTCTCGATTCCAGGCCGGTGTTGTACATAGCTGGATGGCCGATGGCAGTCTTGGAACAACGCCTCAGGGCCATGGGAGAGCTGTAGAACTTCTCCGGTCCGGAGCCTCCGACGATCTCACCATTTCGAAATAAACAGCATTGGCTGCACCAGCACCCCTGTAGATACCATATCGGCTACTACATAGCCCTGGGAATCTATGTGTCAAGACTTTGTAGTAGCCGATTCCGTGCCTCTCTTTCCCTCTCGTTTTCTCTCTTTTCATCTCCCACTTTCCCTCGCTAAATCGCTCCAAGTCTCTGTTTGAATGCTGTGCAGCTTGTCGCAGCCCGCAGCAACCACACGTGGCGTGCCAATGGTCTGTACCTATGACTCACAAGTCTTTTCTTACCCTTACATGTCTGCCTTCCTCAGTCCACGTTACAATTGTTACAATTCCCCAGACCGTACCAGCCTCTTACAATTTCCCCTCCAGACCTCCATCCCCCAGTCCGATAAACCTTTCTCCTCTAGTTATCTTTCTCTCTCAGACTGTTATATTTACCCTTAACTACAAAAGATGAGCTCACGCCATGACGGCTCACCCACTGGATATTTCCCCAATATGGGACGAGTCTAGTGCACCAATCATCCCAGTCAGGAGAGCCTCCGTCCTCTGTTTCACCCAAGCAGTGTGGTGGCCATGAGTCCGATCTTGTCCTCCACGTCATAAAACCGTCATCTGGCATCGTGGTCTACTCCCGAGAGAGCTTTTACTCCGACTATGGTTACTCCATCCAGGATGTTGATTTGTCAGCACACGGTGTACGTCCATGTATACCACATTTTGTTTATTACAACCTTCCTCCACATTCGGAACCTCATCCTCCAGCCTTGACAGCAAACATCCAGTAGCCGGCTTTCAATCCCACTCCTGCTGAAAGTGCTCCGTCTAACACTACTGGTGCCCATCTTACCAACTCCGAAGTCCGCAACTCTACTACTTCCGAAATTTCTCCCAGCTTGCCACCCCCATTAAGCATTTTTGAAAACACTCCATCTCAGACATACTCTCGACCTGTTTTGAGTTCTGCTCCATCCCATTGCACCCCATCTCAAACTTCCCGTTCATGTCGTCCCCTCCCCAAAAGTAAAGCACCACGTAAAGCCAACATTACCCGGAAAAAAAAAACGGCTTTGACTCAAACTGCAATCAATCCGCAGCCAAGTAACCCCATACCAGATCCCCCCCCTCCTGCCGGACCTCTTGCAGACCTTCATGATCGCCAAAGCAAAAAGCGCAAATGCTTGACTACGACCGACTCCAACCAACCTGAGGCGCAATCGGAGGAAGCGTTACTGAAGCTCAGCGAGGCACAGTTGGCGATCCAGGCCCGAAAAACCTCCAAGCGAGCGATGTCCGATGATGACCGCGACTTCTTCGCCGAGTACCAACACTACTTGCGCAAACTCCTGATCATTCGGGCAATTGAGCGTGGGGTTTCAATGCCCATGGTAGATGGCTTTTTGTACGTACATCACACTCTCATCTCAAATCAAATGACACTCGCTTACCTTGTCATACTTAATTCAGAGGAAAGCGAATGGTAATCAAGCAACCGACACCTTGGAATAACTTCCAGAAGACCAAAGAGGCCCGTGATATTTTTCGAGGACGTAAGTTATTCTCCTCATCAATATCAATCTCCCTCAAGGCTGAAATATGATTGCTGAGCTTCCCAGAACCAGATGGTGTAGCCAAGAAGAATGGAATGTTGGAGGTTTCGTCAAAATGGCACGGGCTGTCGGACGAGGAGAAGCTCGAGTTTGCAAAGTGTGTTCGATCGGTTGGCTCCAATGCAAGACCGGCAAACACCGAGGGGACAGGAAACAATCCAGACGAGGTTGATGACGCGGATGAGATTGACGCCGCTGGTGAGGTATCTATGCGACAGACCGTTTCTCTTAAGCGTGCTGCCGATCAAGTCCAGAATTTCATGGACGATTGGGTTGCTCGGGTAAGTTGGGACCTGTTTTGTCTCATCCTGCATTTCACTAACATCTCACCTTTGCAATGTACAGGCTGTCCATATTGCCAAAACTACAAACTGTGAGATGGTGATGTTTGCTGTTTCCAGACATCTTGGAAGCCATGCCTTTCAGCTGGCCAAATGGACTCATGGGGCTACTCGGTTCGTCACTGGTGCCAAGGCTCTGGATGGCCTGAAACACTACCCTGCTCGAATGCAAGCTTACCTCACTGGATACGAGGTTGCCCAGGTAGCTAAGATTAACAGCAAGAAAGGCTGTAAGTCAACTCTCATATAATGTTGTATTTCTTGTTGAACACGGTGTTTACACTTTTTTATTTCCAGGTGCGGTTAAAAAACATCCTGTCTCAATCAGCAAGCGCATGGCGGCCCTGATCGGTTGGTATTGATTTCTGATTCTATAACCTACAATAGTGATCGATCGCTAATGCACTCTCCCTTGTAGAGGAAAAGACACAGGGGACAATGGTCAAATGGCCATGGACGAAGACTGAGAAGAAACTCGCACGGATGAAGTTCCGACTGGAACTGCTCCCTGGTGCGAGGAGCAAACGGGAATGGCTCATGGAGCCCAGTCGTGGTCTTACTTCGGCCCCGGAGGCCACACTACACAACGACTTAGATAAGAAGTTAATTGAGTTGGTCTATGACCCAACCATACCCGATGATCCCAGCTCTAAGCCTACTGCTCGTGGTCGCCGCAGACAACCTCCGAGCGGGTCTCGAAAAGGTCGTCGCAGTGGACCTTTGAGTGGTTCTTCCACTATTGGCAGCCCAAAATCTCAACAAACTATGTCGGAGGTATCCAACAGCCCAGCATCTCAACGAACAACGTTGGAAGAATCCGACATAGACCATGAAAGCGATGTCAGCCATCGAAGCTTGGATGAGAGTGACGAGGAAGATGATGACGACAACGAATGAACAAATTGTCAATCGCTTCTGTCTTGAGAGTATATTGCTCTTCATCTCTTCCTTCTAGTAATGGTGTCTATCTATATTGCTTCCTTCTGTCTCAAACACTTGCACCGAGTTGGCCTGTTGTCTGTTGCCACTCTTTCCCTTGGTCCTGTTGTATGTTGCTTCTGTCTCAAACGCTTGCACCAAGTTCGACTTTTGTCTATCACCTCTATCGCTTCTATATCTTTATAATTGTCTTAGTCTCTCAATCCTCTTGTTTCTTTCTATTCATCTCCTCAGTTGATGATGAACCACCACTGTCGTTACTGCTTCCTCCTCTGTTGAGAATTGAACTAATCCTGTCATTACTTGTTTGCCGATTGATTGATCAAGTTGTTCTACTGCGCACATTTCCATATGATACATCTTATGGAGACCAATCAGTGCCCAAGAAATGAGATTACTTGTTACTGTCCTTACAATTCATGATTTCTGTTCCATTAACACATTCATTTGCGGTCACAGACAACGACAATTAATCCAAGTGGAAGAGCAGAAGGTTTTGGGCATGGTCAACTCTATGTTGCACTATCTTGGGTCACAAGCCTCAACAGCTTCACAGCTGCCACTGAGACACACACTGACAGATTGGATAGCGTATTGCAACAGTACAATCATCACTTATCGATGAAAAAGAAAATCTACAACATGCGATCTACTGTTACAATACAAGACCAATCTTTCCCACTACTCAACATCCAACACCTCAGGTTCCCTAGTGATCATTATTGGCCTGGAGTTCATTCATCTTTTTCAAGATACTTGCTCCTCCTTTTTACCTGTGGGAGGTGAAGGTAGGCACTGTTGCTTTCAATTCAATATGAGTACGTACTGTGCTCAATTTGAATGTGAAGAAAACAACTGGCCAACCTCCCACAGTTAAAAAACAGAAGCAAGATCTCATCCAAAGAGAAGAACGAGGCCAATGAACGATCGATGGAGTTTGAGGTGTTGAATTGAATGAGCTGACTTGGAGATTAATCAAGCTGATTGGAATAAATGGATGAATCAGGGCTGATGTGATTGATGGGGAGTGGAGTGTAAGAGGGTAGGAGTGATGAGGAAGTGAATCGATGAGGAGTTAAGTATAAAGAGGGCAGAAGCGAAGGGTGATTTGAAGAAGGATCGATCAATTGGTTGAACTCCCTGTGTTGAAAAAAATTTTTCAGCTAGGCCCCCTGGCAAGCTTGCCAGGGGGCCTACCTGAAAAGATGCTGCTGAACATGTGGGTTGGAAAAACCTCTGAGTGAGCCAGTCCAAAGTTTAGACCCAAGCTGTGCACTCATCTTCTCCATCCAACATTCTCATAGTTTCTTGGTCCCAATTAACTTGAAACTGCAAATTATATTCCATGAAAGTGATTCATTAGCCCATAACATAATCAAACAAAAAAAGTCTGGTCATGGCCTATATAGAGTCTTTCATTTAAGAAATCCAAATGATTAAATAGTGTTGTGTCTTGTCCACATAAACTGTGCAATCATGTCTTAATCATTTGGAATGAATTATTTGACTGGACACATGTATATTATATATATGCCAAAATAATCAGCATTGTGTTTGTACCTTGAACACTTGATTCATGAATCATAGCAATTTGAAGTGTGCTGTTAGTCAATAGCTATATTTTTATGACAATTTAAAACAAGCTTTGAAACACTACCAAACACTATCCCATTTCCTGGTCAACATACACACACTTCACCTTTTTTTGGTATGAAAGTGATTCATTGGCCTATAACATAATCAAATGAATAAGTCAGGTGTTTATTTGTGTCTTGAACTTATGAATCATATATCAACACTGAATCATTTGGTGTGAGTTGACTTGCTTTGATATTGTACATGGCCAATTTTGATATTTCACAAGACCTATATAGAGTCTTTCATTTAAGAAATCACAGCCTATCCAAATGATTGCATAGTATTTGTGTCTTGACCAAATGATTTCAAGATAATCTCTTAATCATTTAGAATGAATTAGTTGACTGGCTATGATATTACACATGACACATATACATGACATACATTCCAAAATAATCAGCATTGTGTTTGTGTCTTGAGACTTGATTCATGAATCATAGCAATTTGGAGTGTCCTGACTTGCTATGATACATTGCACATGGCATATATACACATGGACAGATTCTTTCATTCATTTTAATATACAAATAAATTTACATTAAATCCAAGCATAAAATCAATGATGAATGTGTGCTGGAATGAGTTGGAATGAAAAATGTATTACTTGATGTTGCCATACACTTGAAAGTGTGCATATTCTTCAATGCTTGGGAATGGCCCAATCATAAAAATGAATAACCACTTGGAATTATATAAGAATTTTGGAATTGATTGGGAATAAATCAATGCAGAAAAATCAAAGAAATCAAATGATATGTTACTATCTTCAAACAAATATAAATGAATTTTGCTTGAATTTGGTTTAATTGAAAAACACAACTACCAGTCATGTGTGACTTGAATTGCTTGAATGATGTTGGATATGGAATTGCTTGAATTTGAATCATTTCCAAAGATCACACTAAAAAAAAATTAACAATTTGTGATTGAAATTGAATCATTTCCCATCCCAAAAATATAACAATCAATCATGAAAATATGTAAATTAATAGTAATATTATGTAACTACTTGGTCTGGGTTATAAATTACTGGATGTTTGAATTTCAATCCTTTCTGAACAAGATGATTCATGAAAAAACAATCTCATACTTCAACCCCTGTGTCTTGCTCAAGATCAGCCCTCATGGTTTCAGATAGAATATTTTCCATGTCTGCATGGTAAGCCTCCTCCTCATCAATTTCATCTCCTTCAGCTTCATCCATGACAGGCAGTGGCTGGTGGATGTTGGGTAACTCTTCAGCAACATTTGGTGGATTGGGTTGGTTGAAATGCAGTGGCTGTTCTTGGTTGAGTAGGCTGTCAGCATGGTTGGGTTGGTCGGGCAAGTTGGCAGAAAGATCGGGTTGGTTCAAGACAGGCCGTGACTCGCGGGGGTTGGGTAGGTCTCCAGTGAGAGTGACGATTAGTGCCTCCGAGAAGTCGCCTGGTATCCCTGAGATCAACCCATACGCAATGGCTTGCTTGATTCGATCGATTTGAGAATTCCAGTCTCTCAATAGCGGTTCATCTTCAAGTTGGGAAGTTGTTTTGACAAAGACTTTGGGCAGTTTGATGTGCCATTCAAGTTGCAAAGAGAGAATCTGAATCAGACTAGAATGGACAATCACACCAGCAGCATGTAGCCTATTGGCCATCACCATTGTATTTGTCAAGTGGGAATGGCCAACAAGTCGCTCCAATTCCTCAGGGATGCTGCTGCCGTTATCAGGAACCCTGACTAATAGTCTCATCAGTTTCGCCAGTTTTTTATGTCGTTCGGTCGCCCATCTCATGGTCCTTCTGACCTCCCAACCAAGCCGTCTAACTTCCTCAAGTCCACGTTGAAGGCAAGCAAGTCGACGTATACCTCGCTGAGTCAATGGATCAACAGCCCATGGCTCGCTAGCATTTGTAAAGAGCCCATCATTCCAAAACATATCGTCTGGCTGTAATTCAAGTAGATTGGGATACGAAATAATGGGAGGTGCTGGTCGGTCGGGGTTACTTGCAATAAACTCGTGTGTCAGTCGGTTGTAGTTGTCCAGATTTTCTCGAAGGGAACCAGCTTGCTTTCGGAGGGCTTCAATAAGCTTCTGTTGCCCGCGGGTACCTAATCATATTGGATGATTAACCCACTGAATATGCAGCAATTTCTGAGGAAGAGACTTACCAAGAGTTGAAGATTCTCCAGGACGGCATACTCTGAGCAGGGGTTCCTTCTCTTCAATGAGTGCCAAGAAACTCTTGCGTAACTCGGTTTTGGTATACCAAACCATTGCAAGCTTATCCTGCTGTATTTCTGAAAGGTTTACAGGTTAAAAGAAAAAGATTAACATCATCAGTTTTAAATTTAAGATGCTTACGTGTCAAGTTATCTGCCAGGCCAGTTGTCCCTACGATATTTCGTTGTGCCTGAAGTTGCCTTTGAACTGACACACATGTGTTTGCTTGAGTGAGTGCCTGTTCCGGGGTCATGGCATCACCCATCAATTGCCTGGAAGATATTTGAATTAGTATGTATGTTGTATTTAATTAGATTAAAATAGCACATACCAGGCTTTATTCAGCTCCTCTTCAAGACACAACAGCCGACCAAGTTCCAGTTGTTGCTTTTCTGATGTGCGGGAGGTGTGCAGATGGTAAGCTTGCTCATCACTCCACTGCTGCTCAAGGAAATGACTGTTGTAGTTTGATCCAGGGTTGTAGTTGTTGGGTCTCTGGTAAAGCTCGGCTAGTTCTTGCCTTGATGAGGAGATGACTTCGTTCGCGTGTTCCAATTTCTGTAAGAGCCAGTAGGCTAGAAGCTCAAATCCAATCAAGCTTGTTGAGATTAATTTAAAAATCATAACTAGGGAAGATCTGAAAAGCTTGATCAAGCAACTCACCTGCCTTCTCATTCAACTCCTTAGTGTAGTAATCCGCACGATGCTGGATTGAAGTGAGCCGATGTAGCCGGGTTGAGACACGGAGGGTGGATATTAGTGGTGATAGGAAAGCCCAGAGCCTCTCAAGACACTCTCCATCTGATAGACCCCACCATGGATTCAGACGTGGATTATACTTGACCTGGCAAGACCACTCATGCACATAAGCATGGAAGACAGATGTGCCAAAAATCAAGTCAGGCAGCCGGTCGCTTAAAAGTCCTCGCTATAAAGGTGTTTCACAGGAACAAAGAGAAAAACTGAGTGAATTGAAACAGGCACATGATAAGCAAGGTACTTACACGTCTCACATGTCTTTCAAGGTGACAGCCAATGTCATAAAGTATTCCTACCTTGTGTTGAGGGAAGTCAGCCAATAGATTCCTTACAAGCGCTATAGGGTAGTATAATCTGT